GGGCTCCAATATGAGGGCTGATGAGGGGCTCCAAAATAGGGAGTGATGAAGGGCTCTGAAACGGGTGCTGATGTGGGGCTTCGAAATACGGGGGGATGAGGACCTCCAAAATGGAGGCCAATGAGGAATGATAAGGGACTCTAACATGTTGGATGATATGAGGAGCTCTGACTACTTGGGGGAAAATGAGGGGCTTTGATGTGGACAGTGATGAGGGGCTGTGACATGGATGGTGATGAAGGGCTTTGATGTGGACAGAAATGAGGGGCTCTGGCATGAGGGGGTGATGGGGGGCTTTAATGTGGACAGAGGTGAGGGGCTGTGACATAAGGGGTGATGCGGGGCTTTGATGTGGACAGTGATGAGGGGCTCCGACATGTTGGTTGATAAAGGGCTGTGAGGGGTTCCATTTACACTCATCCTTGTAACATTGCACTGTGGGGGTATCGCCCTCAAACGTTTGGGTCTTGTTGATTATATAGAGATCCCACGTATACACTATGTGTTACAATCTTAACATGTATCTAAAGCCAAAACATTTTGGATGTCCCCAATCTTCGAATGGACCACCTTGTCCGGAAGAACAGATTTCCTCAAATTTCCTGCTGTGTCTCTGGGACAGGAAGTGAAAGAATATCTCCCCCATGGCAAAGAACCCTGACAGGGGTTCTCACTATTCTACTACATCTAAAAAATGACTCACACTCACTTCACCGGCAAACGAAACAATCGCAGCTTTAAACCAAACCAGCTCCTCAGCACCGTGGAGGCGAATATTCCTCCATCCAGCGAATGTGTTTTAGGGCCGATTCACGCCAATGCAGACAAAATCTGGAGCAGCTGTGCGCGGCATCCAATCAGCTTCTCTCTTTCATTCTCAAATCTTAACTGAACAAACTGAAGAGAGAAGCTGATTGGTTTCCACGGGCAACTGCTCCAGATTCTGTCTGCTCCAGTTTTGATAAATTCCCCCCCATATCCCTAGTGTGCCGCTGCTCACCGTCCATCAGAGGAGCTCGCCCGCCCTCCCGGTCATATAGCAGTACTCACCCCAGGTAGAATCACCAGCAATGGTGGACTTGACATCGGCAGTGACGGAGGGGAAGATGCCAATAGTGACTGCGAAGACCAGACAGACGGACAGGGCCAGCACCCAGATCTAGGGCAAGATACAAGAGACAGTGTATAGGAGGAGGGAGGAATGAGGGAGGGAGGAGGGAGGAATGAGCACCAAGGGACAAAACACGGGGGACAGATATTTCTTTTTTCATTGTTCGGCTAAGATCGGTGACCACAACACAAGCACAAACCTTTTTCAGGATGTTGATGATGGATGGTTTCCCGTGCTCGGCTTTATTCCCTCCAGCTTCTGTTGCGTTGTCACCTGCAGATCATACAAAACAAATCACAATGCAGGCTTCCTGTACACACCGTCCTGGGGAACCCCCGAACCCGTATTCCTACGCGGGGCACAACTGTGCGCCCCCCTCCCTATAGGTATCACTACAGACCAACTCTTCTCTAGGAGGGACAGCGCTAATGCCAGCTCTACATGCTGGATGAAAGGATTGAGTCTGCGTTTCTTACAACAACCAATCAGAGCCTTCCTTTCACTCTCTAAAGGGTAATAGAGAACCGACAACTGGAATATGATTGGTTACTATGGATAACACTAGAGGGCGGATTTATAATGCGTTTGCAGTGTATAGTGGTGTATAGGCTCATTAATGCCACTAGATGGAGCCCAGGAGCTAAGGAAATTCTTATGCTCTTTGGCTCCATCTAGTGGCAGTAATGAGCTGCAAACGTCACGCATTATAAATCAGCCCCAAGGACTTTACTTATCCCCTCCCCTTTTATTGCATTGCCCTTCAGTCACTACTCCATACAAGAGAAGCTGGGCAGAGGATAGCAATTGGAGTGGTGGAGTCTGTCTATGCTTGGGGTGGATGGACTTCCCTGTGGCGGAGGGGGGATGCCATCTTGATATGTATACAATGTAGCACAAAAATAAATATATGTAACATTTTGGGGTCATTATATAAACAGATCGCCCTGAGAATATCTGTAAACATTCAATTTGGGCGTATATTGTTCTTAATATATTTTTCCCAATTCGAATGTAGTGTTGTAATAATACATTGTGCCCACTAGATGACGTTTCCAAGTTTGAATGCAGTGTGTTGTAATAATACATTGTGGCCACTAGATGGAGCCAATGAGCAGAGGAAATTATGGCCACTAAATGGTTCTGAGGAGCAGAGAAAATTATGGCCACTAGATGGTGCTGAGGAGCAGAGGAAATTATGGCCACTAGATGGCACGGAGCAGCAGAGGAAAATATGGCCACTAGATGGCGCTGATGAGCAGGGGAAATTATGGCCACTCGATGGATGCTACATTCCATCTAGTAGCCACAATGTAATATTACAGCAACAAACTACATTCGAACTTGGAAACTCCATCTAGTGGCCATAATATATTATTACAACACTACATTCGAATAAGGACATTTGTTTTTGCCACACACGCACACCCCGGCATCTACACAATTAGGCCACTGCTCCAACAGACGGATGGGCCGCTCACCTTTTAGCAAATCTTTCTTCAGCTCCATATCATTACTGGCCGTCTTGTTGAGGTTCTCGCTGGTGTAGTAGCGGTAGAATTCCTGAAATCACAGAGACTGATCATTGCTCATCTGACTATATAACGCGTCACAGCGACTCCACTTCTATGCAGCACATTACTTCAGTGAAGTGTCCGGGAACATGTACAGGAAGCTGCAGGGTTTCCAGCATGACATGAACAATGGTATCAGCAGCATCCCTTTAGATGTGTAGGATCCCTGCTGTCCGCATGCATGGCTAGTGCACATGTGCAGGGATGCCTCCTCTACTATGAATGCACATGCCGAGAGCCCTCAGGGAACATGCTACTATAGGGATATGGAAAGATTTTTAAGCCAACAGGACCGCTGATGATCCCCAATTCAGCCTTCAAAGAACAGCCAGATAAAGGACCTTGTTGTAGTTACTCATGCATCTGCTTCTGCAAGCAATGCTTGTGGCTGTCAGAGTCTCTCAATGCCTTGTGGGATTTGTAGTTTCCCCACAGCTGGGGGGGGGGGGTTTTTTTGGGGGGGGGGGGGGGCTACCCCTGATCTAGATGTTTTATATAATGTAAGCCCCAACTGATTGACATTTTGTTTTTTTTACACACTGTGCATCATAAACAATTGTCACTTTTTTATTTTATTTAAAATTGAATTCTTGTTAGGAATTGGGACAGATCGTTGCCACCCTATCACAGGAAGTGACTGATCAAAGACTTTTCATGGCAGGATCACCAGGGTTGATTTTAGTGAAAGCTGCAGATATAAAGTTATCAGCGTGTTAAAGCTTATATGACACTTTAGTGATTGGGGTTACATTTGCTTTAACCTCTTGCCGTCCACCCGTTGTGAAAAAACGGACGGACGGCGGACTCACATTTTTTTTTCTGCTTTTGTGCGCCCCCCTAGCAGAAAAAACCCGCCCGTTCCTTACAGCTGTTCCCGGCTGTTTGACATACATACGATCGGCAGCTCTATAGCCTACCGATCGTATGTATGTGCCGGCTTGCTGCGCGCCAGCACATCAATCACTGCTAACACTAAACTGATGAGCGGTAAAAGCTTTTAAAGCGTCGCCTATGGCCAATTTTGGGTATGGTAGTTTTTTGAGGTTTCGCGCGTGCACGCAATTTTAAGGCTTGACATGTTTGGTGTCTATTTACCCGATGTGACCCCGCCTTTTATATTTTATGTATGGCCAGCAGGTCATTCTGATGTATGGCCAGCAGGTCATTCTGATGTATGGCCAGCAGGTGGCGCAGTGAGCACGGGATGAATCTAACATACAAAACCTCCTATAGCTACAGTCTGCTAATACTGATCACTGTCTTCTTATATAAGAAATACTTTTATTAATTGATTACAGTCACAGTGGCTGCTGATGATTATATGTTCAGGTGTCATTGCTGGAAGGTATAGCTCAGTAAGTTGATCCCCTCATGACCTATGTAGCCTGAATGATTGCTGTTATCTGCAGCCTTGCATTAGAACCCTATCACGGGGTAGGCAACCTCGGCATGCCAGCTATGGTGATGCTACATATTCCATTATGTCTAGGCCTCTGGCAGTCATGCCTGTAGCTATCAGAGTCTTGCAATGCCTCATGGGACTTGTAGTTTCACCACAGCTGGAGTGCCCAGGTTGCCTACCCCTGGCCTGTTAGTAATAATCCATATGTATGTGATCTATAATAAATCAGATCATTGCATTTATAAATCCAACATGTTTCAGATTTTTGGCTACAAACTCAAAGATGCAGCAAATACTGTGACATCCCAGATACACCAATCCCGCCGTCTGCTCACTGCCGGGGTCGGTACACACTCACCAGTTTGGGCAGTGCCAGGTATGACAAGAGAGCCAATAAGACGACCACGCAGGCTGTGATAAAATAGCCAAAGGCGCTGTCCTCCAACGCTGAGCCACCTAAGGAAATACGAATAGGGGTTACTTGGAGAGGAGGGAATATGGACTGGTATTAATGGGAACGGAGAAGGATATGGACTGGGGTTGCTGGAAGAAGAGGGGGCGTAAGGGCTGCTTTTACTGGAAAAAGGGAAGATATAGAATGAGGTTTGTGGGAGAGGAGGGGGCTATAGACTGAGGTTACTGGGAGAGAAGGAGGAGGATATGGACTGGTGACAATGGGGGAAGAAAAGCATATGGATTTGAGTTTTTGGGAGAGGAGCAGGATATGGAATAAGGTTTCTGGGAGAGGAGGGATATATAGACTGGGGTTGCTTTAAGAAAAGGGGAGTAAGGACTTTCTTTTTCTGGAAGAGTGGAGGATATGGACTGGAGTTACTGGGAGAGAAAGGGGATATGGACTGAGGGTGCTGAGAGAGGAGGATATGGACTGAGGGTGCTGAGAGAGGAGGATATGGACTGAGGGTGCTGCGAGAGGAGGATATGGACTGAGGGTGCTGAGAGAGGAGGATATGGACTGAGGGTGCTGAGAGAGGAGGATATGGACTGAGGGTGCTGAGAGAGGAGGATATGGACTGAGGGTGCTGAGAGAGGAGGATATGGACTGAGGGTGCTGAGAGAGGAGGATATGGACTGAGGGTGCTGAGAGAGGAGGATATGGACTGAGGGTGCTGAGAGAGGAGGATATGGACTGGGGTTACTGGGAGAAGAGGGGGATAAGGAATGTTTTTACTGCAAGAGGAGAGGATACAGACTGGTTTTAATAGGAGAGGAGGGCAATATGGACTGGGGTTACTCTGAGAAGAGAGGGGATAAGGGCTGGTTTTACTGGAAGTAGAGAGTATATGGATAGGGGTTACTGGGAGAGGAGAGGGATACAGATGTATGTTAACGGGAGAAGAAAACAATATGGAATGGCTTTATAGGAGAGGAGGAGGCTATGGGCTAAGGTTACTAAGGAGGGGGGTATGGATTGGGGTTGCTGGGAGAAGAGGAGGATATAGATTGGGGTTGCTGGGAGAAGAGGAGGATATGGATTGGGATTGCTGGGAGAAGGAGGATATGGATTGGAGTTGCTGGGAGAAGAGGAGGATATGGATTGGGATTGCTGGGAGAAGAGAGGATATGGACTGGGAGAGGGGGGACATGGACTGGGATTATTGGGAAAGGAAGGGGATATGGACTGGGGTATACTGGGCAGGAGGGGGTTATATGGACTGGGATGGGGGAATAGAAGACACTAGGGTTATCCAGAAGGGAGCAGAACCAGGGGACAGAATGGTGGCTGGAGACTCCACCAGGAATGGGAAATGTCACTTCTTACCCCCAGACTCAACACGACGATCACCGATAGAGAATGGGGCACTTACTGGCCAAGGCGCAGATCATGGCGAGAGCGGCAAACGTCCCCGCGAGGCCCTGACCGCTCATTATAGGCGCCGTGTAACTGGCTGGGAAGAGGGCGGCCAATCCAAAGAGACTTCCCTGGAGGAGAGCGCCAAACGCTGCGAAGGAGACGGAGAGCGTTAATCCCGTGACACCCCATCACTCCACATCCCGCTATCCCAGCAATGAGAGGGGAACCAGGAGGATAAATCTGAGTGTAAATCCAGCTTGTCAGTCACACGGTCAGAGTCATTCCCGCTTCGCTGAGCGCCATCTCACGCTTCATTCTCACATTACTGAGACTTCCTGGAGCCCAATGCCGGGAGCGGGTGGGGACGACACACTGTGAAGGGGCGACTCAGCCAACCCGTCTGTGTAATTCAGCATTTGCACATTGTCAATAAATTCCATCCGCTCCGCGGGACATTTCATATTTACTATATTGTGAAGAATTACACGGAAGGGACACAAGTGCCGGTTTGTTAATAAGGATTATATACAAAAGGCAGCAACTAAATCTACATTATTCTGCCAGACCCACGGTGGTCTAGGGGCCCGACCCATGCCCAATACTGGAGAGGACAATCTGATAAGCTGGCCACATATGTTACAATCTGATTGTGCAATCTCTTTCAGATTTCCCAGTGATGCAGTGCAAAGACCGGCCTGATTGGGTATAGATGTAATGGATAGTTGTGAGGGCCCTGAACTATTTCGTTTTTGGAAGGTGATTGTACAATAAGATTGTGTGTGGCCCGCTTTAGCAGCATCCCCATTGTTCTCCCTGCCATAAGCCAGCATCCCCATTGTTCTCCCTGCCATTATAAGCCCATAAACAGCACTGACGGGGTCTACTGCCCCCCCACCACAGACACACATGACACTTGGTTACGAGGTTGGTGATGGACCCATAGACAGACCCCCATAGTGACAAATGGACATACATTATATTGTGACGGTCAGACAGATACCCCCATAATGATGGGCAGACAGACACCACTGACAGTCAGACACACACCAACATAGTGATGGTTGAACAGACACCCCCATAAGGACAAACTGACACTCACGTAGTGATGGTCGGACAGACACTCCCAGAGTAATGGATAGACAGACACCCCCATTGTGATAGATTGACAGACACTCCCATAGTAATGGAAAGACAGACACCCCCATAGTAATGGATGGACAGACACCCCTATAGTGATAGACAGAAAGATACCCCAGTAGAAATGGACAGTCACCCCCATAATAATGGTCAAGCAGACACCCCCATAATGATGGATGGACAGACACCCCCATAATAATGGATGGACAGATGCCACCATAGTGATAGATTGAAAGACACCCTCACAGTGATGGATGGACAGACACCCCCGCATAGTGATGGATGGATAGACACCCCCATAATAATGGATAGACAGATGCCACCATAGTGATAGATTGAAAGACACCCTCACAGTGATGGATGGACAGACACCCTAATAGTGATAGATTGACAGACACCCTCACAGTGATGGATGGACAGACACCCCAATAGTGATAGATTGACAGACACCCCCATAATGATGGCTGGACAGACACCCCACAGTGATGGATGAACAGACACCCCAATAGTTGCAGACAGACAGACACCCCCATAGTGATGGTCGGACAGACAGTGAACATTCTTTGTACTCACAGTTGATAAAGATGATTTTGATCATGGTTACAGTGAAGAAAGTGATGGGGGAGAACTCGATCTTCACAAAGATGGCGGTCATCAGGAAAACCAGGAAAATGGCGGCCAGACTACCGGCAATACGGATTTTCTGAGGGATCCTGGAGAGACAGAGGGGAGAAAAGTGTGAGTACTCATGGTGTACCCTGGCAGCGGTGTGACCGATGGGCAGAGGACCTGAGTGTAGAACCTGCAGATTGGAGCCCTTTCTTATTCCTTCACTGTAGATGGTTCTAGGTGTCCCAAAGTGATGAGAACAGAGGAGGCAGAAAAGAGGGCAGAGCCAGGTGAAAGAGCAGAGCCAAAAGCAGGAGCAGTGTCAAGGGGGAGAGCCGAGCCAGGTGTAGAGAAAGGATCGGGAAACAGAGCCAGGAGCAAGAAATACTGCTAAGAGGACAGCAGAGACAAGAGGGGGAGCAGAGACAAGAGGGGGAGCAGAGACAAGAGGGGGAGCAGAGACAAGAGGGGGAGCAGAGACAAGAGGGGGAGCAGAGACAAGAGGGGGAGCAGAGACAAGAGGGGGAGCAGAGACAAGAGGGGGAGCAGAGACAAGAGGGGGAGCAGAGACAAGAGGGGGAGCAGAGACAAGAGGGGGAGCAGAGACAAGAGGGGGAGCAGAGACAAGAGGGGGAGCAGAGACAAGAGGGGGAGCAGAGACAAGAGGGGGAGCAGAGACAAGAGGGGGAGCAGAGACAAGAGGGGGAGCAGAGACAAGAGGGGGAGCAGAGACAAGAGGGGGAGCAGAGACAAGAGGGGGAGCAGAGACAAGAGGGGGAGCAGAGACAAGAGGGGGAGCAGAGACAAGAGGGGGAGCAGAGACAAGAGGGGGAGCAGAGACAAGAGGGGGAGCAGAGACAAGAGGGGGAGCAGAGACAAGAGGGGGAGCAGAGACAAGAGGGGGAGCAGAGACAAGAGGGGGAGCAGAGACAAGAGGGGGAGCAGAGACAAGAGGGGGAGCAGAGACAAGAGGGGGAGCAGAGACAAGAGGGGGAGCAGAGACAAGAGGGGGAGCAGAGACAAGAGGGGGAGCAGAGACAAGAGGGGGAGCAGAGACAAGAGGGGGAGCAGAGACAAGAGGGGGAGCAGAGACAAGAGGGGGAGCAGAGACAAGAGGGGGAGCAGAGACAAGAGGGGGAGCAGAGACAAGAGGGGGAGCAGAGACAAGAGGGGGAGCAGAGACAAGAGGGGGAGCAGAGACAAGAGGGGGAGCAGAGACAAGAGGGGGAGCAGAGACAAGAGGGGGAGCAGAGACAAGAGGGGGAGCAGAGACAAGAGGGGGAGCAGAGACAAGAGGGGGAGCAGAGACAAGAGGGGGAGCAGAGACAAGAGGGGGAGCAGAGACAAGAGGGGGAGCAGAGACAAGAGGGGGAGCAGAGACAAGAGGGGGAGCAGAGACAAGAGGGGGAGCAGAGACAAGAGGGGGAGCAGAGACAAGAGGGGGAGCAGAGACAAGAGGGGGAGCAGAGACAAGAGGGGGAGCAGAGACAAGAGGGGGAGCAGAGACAAGAGGGGGAGCAGAGACAAGAGGGGGAGCAGAGACAAGAGGGGGAGCAGAGACAAGAGGGGGAGCAGAGACAAGAGGGGGAGCAGAGACAAGAGGGGGAGCAGAGACAAGAGGGGGAGCAGAGACAAGAGGGGGAGCAGAGACAAGAGGGGGAGCAGAGACAAGAGGGGGAGCAGAGACAAGAGGGGGAGCAGAGACAAGAGGGGGAGCAGAGACAAGAGGGGGAGCAGAGACAAGAGGGGGAGCAGAGACAAGAGGGGGAGCAGGGACAAGAGAGGGGAGCAGAGACAGGAGGGGGGGGCAGAGACAGAGCAGAGTTGCACTCTCTGTGCTCACACTTCAGGAAGACACCAATAGGGCATAGGCATGTGACTGACCTGCTGTGCAGGATGGAGTTCAGGCAGGTGAAGATGAGGAGGGGCAGCATGGCGCACAGGGTCATGACATTGTTGAACTTGCTCTGCAGTTGAGATCTGGGCGGCTCCAGCGCTCGGGCCTCTGTCATATTGGGGTCACTTAGAAGAGAGACATTCGGGAAGCCGGTCGTAAAGTCATCACCGATATCGGATGCTATCCTGGCACTGGCCGGCTCACCCAGGCGGCTGGTGAAATACTGGCATGAGAGAAGAGAAGAGGTGAGGACACACCGAGAGCTCCTCCTGACTACTAACTATCTACTAGTTACACAGCTCACTACTTATCCAGTATTCCCATTATCCAGCTTACTAGTATGCCTGATATCCTGCCTGATGGAAAGTCAGATTTCTAGTTATCCAGCCTGCTAGGTATCCAGTTTACTAATCAGTATTACTCATTATCCATGCCATGCTCCAGTACACCCAGTACCCAACCTACTAATTATCCAGCATGCTAGGTATTCAATTTAATAGCTACCTAGTCTACTAGTTATCCTGTACACTCATCATCCAGCCTGCTAGTTATCCTGTATACTCATCATCCAGCCTACTAGTTACCCTGTATACTCACTGTCCAGCCTACTAGTTATCCTGTATACTCATCATCCAGCCTGCTAGTTATCCTGTATACTCATCATCCAGCCTACTAGTTATCCTGTATACTCATCATCCAGCCTACTAGTTATCCTGTATACTCATCATCCAGCCTACTAGTTATCCTGTATACTCATCATCCAGCCTACTAGTTATCCTGTATACTCACTGTCCAGCCTACTAGTTATCCTGTATACATTGTGTCTTGGTCAGTTACCGCAAACTTACCATGGTGGCCGTCATGAAGAAGTTCCAGGGCAGCAGAGTGCCAAGTCCGAGGGTGAAGAATATTAACCAGACCGCATTGTACCTGGAAGAGAGCGGGATGAGGTTACATGGAGTATGGCGGCCGCACCATGCACACACACTTACCCGGCGATATCCCATAGCAACCAACGGTAATGCTTATTTCAGCGATGTAAATGTAGTGTGATTGGTTACAGGAGTGCTCACCAAGGACCCCCAATGTATATCAATCATCCTTGTATTCTGGTACCTGAATGGTGGACAACCAACACCTCCCCATTAAAAGGGCCATCAGAGCACATCATGCAGAGCTCAGGCAATGCATCCTGGGAAATGTATGCAAAAAAGCCACGGACAGAGGGATTCTGGGTAGATGCATTCACTAGCGGCCACGGTGTTACCCAGAAATCCCTTCTCAATCTGCGTCTTACATACACACCGCATTGCCAAAATCTACTCCCTGCCGATTTCACTTCTGTGAAGCCGCTGCAGCCCTGTGCTGATGAGCCCCTGTGGGAGAGAACAGCCCTGTCCTGTGATTGGTTCTGCTTCAGTACATCCCGGTGACAACATGATAAATGTGTCTATAAACCGTACATTCACCTTCCAATATGTCTGCCATCATGTCTCAGTGTATACAGTTTTCATATACAAATATTTTTTGGTCACAATGTTTCGGACGTGGAGATCCTGCCAATTACAGAACTTCCTTTTCAAGGCTGACGACTATAAGCTGCTGATTTGCGATAAGAAGCAGCGTTGTCAGCCTGCAACAGGAAGTTCTGCAATTGGCAGGATCTCCACGTCAGAAGCATTGTAACCTACAAGAAAGCAGTATACATCGAAACATAATGCCAAACATACTGATCTCTCTCTCTACTGAACCCATCACA